TCTTATAAATATAAGAAGTGCCCTTTAGTGATAAAGGCATAATATAGCAAATCTATAAGGCGGTAACAGTCATTTATCTTCATAATCAATTATTATGTACTGAACATAAACATACATGTTAAAGTCTTACTTTTAATTTACATATTTCAATCTTACATGATAAGCAGGAAGAGGCAGATTTTTTAAAAAAGTCTTCCCCCTGCTTGCTCACTCCTCAAGCTCACAGCAGCCAGGGAAGGCTGGGCCAAACAAGGGGTGTAGAACTCAGTGTGGGTCATCCCCAAATGTTGGGAAGAAGCCAAGTACTCAGCCATCCTGCTGTCTCCCACAAAGTGCATTTGGAGCAGGTTGGATAGGAAATGGAGAAACCAGGACTCAACTGGGCACTTGGACACGAGGTGCAGGCAACTCAACTGAGGACTTAGTCACTACACCAAACATGCAGCACTTTATTATATTTCTGTAACAACTGAAACTGCACTAAGTTTGCTTACATAAGCATCACCACAAATATGTAAGTAATGCAGTGTATTAACATTACAGCTACCATGTCACTAGATCAGCTCCAGTATAGTCTTACAGAATTACTCTTATGTATATGGTCCACTAGTGATGGAAAGGTCTCTATAAGGTGGAAAGATAGTAGCATATTTCGACACAAGCTTTAAGGAATGATCTTAGTTCCGAAACAAGGAGAATTCCCTTTAAGACCAGTGTCCAGTAACAGCTAAACTGAAGTCACTGTATTACTAACCACAAAATCATTTCAAAGTAGAACAACAACAAAAAGATTAAATAGCCATTTTCTTCAAAAGATTGTAGCTGAGGAAAGGGAGTAAGGTTTAACCTTTTAGGTCCTTACACTAACTAGCATGACAAAAATTTGACTCCATAGCCTGACAATGGGTTTTCAAGTTACACAAAAATGATGCAAATCCCATGCCAAAATTGAGAATTCCAGGGATTGCGTTGGATGTCCCAAGGTCTGACTTAGTTTGGAGTTAAGACAGTACTTTTAACATTCTTCAGATGATTTTCATAAGACTCAATGCTCCCAGTGTTTGCCTGTATTGATCTTTAGATTAAGGTTTGAGTGCTAAAGAAATTCTCAGTGTCCTGGTGACACTTCTTGCTGGAAACAGCATTCAAGTCCTGGGCCATGGGAGCATCATCATCACAGAACCCACTCTAAGGGGGAGTTCAAGTCCAGGACCATGAGAGCTTCGCGTCATGGAGCCCACAGGGAGGGAGGAGTTGGCAGGCAGAAATAGACACACTCACCTATGCTCAGCCACCATCACCCGTGTCCCTGGGATGCCTTGACCCCTGCTGAGGAGACTGAATTTCAGCATGGTGAAAATGTATAGAGAGCATTACTCATTTACTAGGCAAAAAGGATTAGCTCCGGTATCCTCAAAGTTTCCTTCAGTTTGTAACACATCAAAGATTGTTAAACTCAGGTTCAGCGCAGTAACCTAGCAGCTAAAGTCCTCACATGCCAGGATGTCATATGGGTGGTGGTTCTAGTCCTGGTGGCCCCTATTCCCATCCAGCTTGCTGCTTGTGGCCTGGGAAAGCAATCAAGGCTGGCCCAAAGCCCTGGGACCCTGCACTCACATGGGAGACCTAGAATAACCTCCAGGCTCCTGGCTACGGATCAGCACAGCCCCAGCCATTGCAGCCACTTGGGAAGTAAATCATCAGATGGAAGATCTTCCTCTCTGTCTCTCCTCCTGTCTGTTTGTCTGACTCTGCAATAAAAACAAAATAAATCTTAAAAAAAAGAGGTTGTTAAGCTCAAGTGTTAGGAATAATGATCTACAAGGAAGTTACTCATAAGAGCCCATAAAGAGGCAGAGTAAAGGGAGAAAGACCAGAGATCCTGCAAGGGGACAGTAACATTATACCTTGGGCCAGAGGCCAATGTTGGAAGTGTCTAGTCATGGAATTGTCAGTTAAACCAGGTCCAAGTTTGAAGACTCAGTTTTGAGGTATTTTGAGAAGTCACAGACTTTGTCATATGAATTAACCCACATTTATTTCACAGAGTTTGAGGTTATTAGGCTTAGATTATTTTGCCTAGAAACCCCTGGGCAAAATTACAAATGGGGGCAATGGTTGCCTGAAAAAATTCTCCTCCATCAGGAATTAAAAGACACAACAGTAGTCAAAAAGCAGTGGCTACGAAAGAACAAGTGAACTACATTTCTGGACAGTGAAACCCACAGACCCTGGGGCAAACATTCAAAAAGATTATTACTGCAACACAGAGCATGTGCAGGGAATTGGTGGCAAGAGGCCATGGAGGAAACAGAATTCTAAGATGAGCAGTCGGAGGAAGCAAGTGGTGGTAGAGAACATCTGGTAAAGGTCTGCCTGAGTCACTTTAGGGGGAAAAATCTCCAGGAGGATATTTGAGGGGAGCCCAGGAATTCAGAGAGGTCACTGTCACACAGTTGTTGAACTTCAGAATGAAAAGTGGAATATTGGAGGTCACTGAGGATGTCTGAATCTCTGATACCCACAAAGGTACACAAAGGGGCCTGTGTTACGGTGTAGCATGCTAAGCCTCCACCTGCAGCAAGGCATCCTATATTGATAATAGTTGGAGTCCTGGCTGTTCCACTTCTGATTTAACTCTGTGCTAGTGAACATGGGAAAGCAACAAAAGATGGCTCAAGAACTTGGGTCCTTGAAACTATGTAGGAGACCTGGAAGAAGTTCCTGGCTCCCTGGCTTGGGTTGGGCTGTTTCTGGCCACTATGGCCATTCAGGAATGAACCAACAGATGGAAGATGTTCTCTCTCTTTCCTCTTCTCTCTATAACTATGCCTTTCAAATGCATAGCTAAATCATCTTTAAAAAAAAAAAAAAGAATGCAAAGGGATAAGAAGGGGAAAAGCAGACCCAGAAATGAAAATAGTGAAGTAGCCACCTCAAACCACTTTGTCTAGAGAATCTCGGCTCCAGTTTCAGTTGTGCTTTTATTGGCTATCAGAGCTGGGACTAGCAATGTTCTGTTCCTGATTTGCAAGTGTGAATGATTTGTTTCAGGAACATTGGACAAACTTGCGAAAGTGGAATGGGGTAAAAGATGCAAAATCGTTTTGTTGAGTTCAAAGCCCTCTACCAAGTGAAGGCCCTTTCAAAACTTTTCTAACTACACAAGTAATTTCCTGATTCATTATCGAAAACTCCACAGATCAAAAGTACACACAGTTTCAGGAAAAAATCTTCTGTATCAATCTTACGCTTTAAAAATAATTTTAATGCAAAAAAATCTAATACAATAAACTGTTACATAAAAACATGGGGCAGCATTTAGTGAAAATTACAAAGCAGCATTTGCGATGTGATGATGTTTTGTAGACCCAGACTACATAGCCATATCTGGGAAGAATGCATTGCGAAGAAGTAAGTAGCATTGTTTTCACTTTACACAGGTCTCTACCATTGTCATTTTTCATCTTTAGCATATATATTTTTACAATATTATTAAAGACTGTGCAAAAGAAAGTGGAACCTAAATCAATAAGATAAAGATAAAAATGCTAAAGGTCTTAAGTTTAAATGGCAGACCAGAAAACAGTTCTAAAAGAGAAAAATACACAAAAGTAACCAGAAATTAAAATAAAAGAAGTGAAAATGAAAGTAGGAACAAAATGGTTCTCAAAATTTTCATTTAGAGAATAGGAAAAAAACTGATCCCGTGGTGTTTGCCATGAATTTTTTTGCTTTGTTTGACTGTCAACAATAGTCTACTCAGCAGCGCTGCTGACCAGTTCTCTCCCCTGGTCCTGTGCAAAGAAGGTGCAAGCGCAAGTTAACAGGGGAGTCTGCCATGGGAGAAAGAAAGGCTGCATGTGAGCAATGCTCAACTGTTTCATGGTTTAATGTTTTATATCCCTTTTTTCAGAATACAGAAAATAATCATAAATTTGAGAGATGGGCAGGAATGACAAATGAAAGTGTACCTGAAAAATACCAGCTTTATCAAGGGATGAAGCTTTTATCTGTAGATATCATGTCTCTCATCAAATCCTTATGTCCTTTCCATCAACAATTCTGTCATGCCCATGTACAAAATCTATCATGAACCTATTTACTGCTTCCAATTTTATCATCATTATTTCAAATTCATTCCTGCCTATTCCCTCCATGATGTCCACCTCCTTTTTCTCTGTATCATTCCTTTACCCCACGTGTGCAACATGAGCCTCCTTCAAATCATCAGATGAAGCCAAAATCTTTCACATAGCTTATAGATCCAACATGGTCTGGACCCTGCTCATTTTTCTGTTTGCCTTTTATGGCTTCAAACTCAGTTAAGATCTTTCCCACCTTAGAGTCTACATGCACAGTTCCTTTTGATTCAAATGTTCCTTAGTTCCTCAGCACATGCACAGCCGCGTACCCAGGTGGAAGCCACCTGGGGAGTAAACCAGTGCATAAAGGTCTATTTCTGTCACTACTCTTTTGTCACTCTGCCTTCCAAATGAATGATTTTAAAGTTGTTTTGGCTTTCGTGATTCAGTTTTATAATCACTGTAGAAACCCAGAATGCAATAATTACCACAGCAGGTTCAATTGGAAGTGCCATGTACCACAGTACTCACTAACACAGTATAATTGTTTAAGTTCCTCATAGTTGTTGAAAAGAAACTAAACTTGAAATTAATTAATAATCCAATTAATAAAAGCACCAATCAATTGTTCTTTCACTGTTTCATGTTGTTGTTGTTGTTGTTAAAAATCATTTCTGTTTTGTCTTTTTTTTGGGGGGGGAAGCTCTATTGAAAAAGATTATTTGCCAAGAACCCTACATAGAAACATAAGAGTTCTAGTTCCGTTTTTCTACTACGGGTAAATAATTTTTCCCCCAGGTTTCTGTTTGTTTTCGTGGTTGATTTTTTTTCCTTATTTGTTGAATAATTAATAAAATATATCAATCTCCACATTCTATTTCATATCTCTGTCTGAAAATGAAAGGGAAGAAGCAATCCCAACAATATCAAAATTTATTTTTTAGGAGGTGAGAGACAAATACAGAAGGTATTTTTCTAACACTATAAGTTGTTAGTGGTATGTATAGCTGATGCATCCACAAAGTCAAGGACAGGAATCATTGCATCACCTTCAGAAGGCGTGATGCTCTGACGCCCCTCTCCTCTATTAACAAATTTGTGCAATAAGCTATAGTACTGTTCTTTCGGATTGAACGTATATAATGATGAAATCTGCTGCCAGTCTTTAGTGCTGGGAGTGCTGCATTTCTTTGGGTGAGAACCCTCAAAAAAACATCTGACGTTCTCTTTGGCCAATGCTGTTGCATGCTCTGTGGCTTCACTTTTGAGGATCCGTTGTTCCTGCTCCAAATAGATTTTCCAAAATTTCAGCTGCAGAAAACTAACTGGAGATAGACATCGGCTGATTGATGTGAAAATCACAAAGACGCTGATGATGACTGCTATCATGATCCAGCCGAACACCTTAAGAAGACAACAAAGACAGTTTAGTCACTTTTCTTGTAAGAAATTTTTAAATCCTCAGATAAAATTTGAACTATTTATCAGTCACAAAAAGCAATGGTTCAGAGACGGTGTTGCAGCACAGCAGACTAAGCATCTATGTATCTCTCCCCCCTCTCTCTCAAAAACTCTGCCTTTACAATAAAAATTTTATTTAATTTCATTTTTTTAAGATTTATTTATTTTTATTGGAAACATAGATACATAGAGAGAGGAGGCAAGACAGAGAGGAAGATCTCCTGTCTGATGGTCATTGGTTGCAGTGGCTGGAGCTGAGGCAATCCGAAGCCAGGAGTCAGCAGCATCTTCTGGGCCTCCCACACGGGTGCAGGGTTCCAAGACTTTGGGCCATCCTTGGCTGCTTTCCCAGCCCACAAGCAGGGAGCTGGATGGGAAGCAGGACTTCCGGAATTAGAACCAGTGCCCATATGGGATCCTGGCACATTTAAGACGAGGACTTTAACTGCTGTGCTATTGTGCCAGGCCCTTTTAATTTCTTTTTTATTATATTTCTTTTTATTCATGTCATTATATGATAGAGTTTCATAGGCCCTGGGATTTTCCTTATCCCCTCCCCAATTCCCTCCTCCCTCACTGGGTTCCCTTCTATCATTACTATAGTACAGTTCTCAATACATGGTCATATGTCCATTATTGCAAGCAGAGTCCAGCATCCTATTATCAAGATATAGTAAAGAGTTTCATTGAGAGTCCATCTCAGGAAGCAGAGATACATACTGCATTGTATCCTCACATCTGGATATGATAGTCTCCATTACACATTTACTATACATCCCCTCTAATGAAAAGCCACACTACAAAATCAACAATAGAAAGAAAACCAGAAATTTACAATGCCGTGAAGTGGGATAACATGCTGCTAGATATGATAATCTCCATATCCTCATAAATGAAAAGCTTCAAAACATAATCAACAGCAGGAATGAAGAAAGAAAAGAAATTAACAACACCATGAAGTTAAATAACATGCTACTAAATGACTAATGTGTCGCTAAAAAAATGAAAATCAAGAACCTTCTTGAAGAAAATGATGTTGCTGTATGATCTATGAATCATTGAAGAATTTAATCAGAAGAAAGTGTTTTCAAGCGGTGAAACTAACAAAAAACATCAAAAGTCATGACATATAGTTTCTGCAGATCTTTGTTGATGAGATGTGTTTCCTGTAGGCAACAAATAGATGGGTTTTGTTTTTTAATCAAGTCTACTAATCTATGACATTTGATTGATCCATTTAACCTGTTTGCATTCAGGGTAATTACAAATAGTTGGTAATTTGATCTGTCATTTTTAGGGATGGGCTACTCATTGATTTAGTCTTCTGTTGTTATTTTACTGAGATGTTCCTTGCATTTACCTTTGATTTAGGTGGGTGCTAAATTTTTTCTCTGTCAAGAGAATATCTTTAACTATGATTGGTTGCCAGGTTTGTAAGAGGCATATTCTTTTAATTTTTCTTTACTGTGGAAGAATTTTATTTCATTTTCAAAAACAAAAGAAAGCTTGTCCTGGGATGACAATTTTTTGCTTTTATAACCTGGAATATGTCGTTCCATTCTCTTCTTGTCTGTAGCGTTTCCTGTGAGAGGTCTCATGTGAGTTTGGCATTTATTTTTATATTATCATTTGATTTTTTTCACATGCATTTTTAAGGGTCTTTTCCTTATGTTCAACTGAAGAGAGTTTGATGATCATGTGTCTTGGTTAAGATCGCTTTTGATGAGGCCTCTTGGGAGTTCTGTGTCCCTCCTGGATCTTGTTTCCCAGTTCTTTCTCTAGTTTAGGGAAATTTTCCCTTATTATTTCATTAAATATATTTGTAAACCCAGTTTCTCTTTCTGCACCTTCTGGGAATCCCATAACTCTTATATTTGGCCTTTTAACAGTGTCTTTCAATTCTTGAATACTTTTTTTTAAGGCTTGACCCATTTCTGCTTCCAGATTTTTGTTTCCTCTTGGTGACAGAAAATATCTTCCAATTCTGAGATTCTTTCTTCTGCCTTCTTCATTCTATTTTGGAGACTCTCCAGTATACTTTTAGTTTGCTCCACTGCATTCTTCATTTCCGATATATCAGCTTTCATTTGATTCATTTCCAGTGTGACACATTCCTTAAATTCCTCGAGTGACTGCTTTATGTGCTTCTCGTTGTTGGTAAGGAGTTTTATAACAGGTGTTTTGAATTCTGTATCCCCCATTTTCTCAATGTCTTCTTCAGTGAACTGTGAGGTTGGCAAAGGGTTTTTGCTCCTTTGCAGGGGAGTCATCAGTAACATTCATTGTGCTTCTGTCTCTTCTTTTGCTCTTGGTCATTGCACTTCTGGTTATCAGAGTCTTCTCCTTGGGGCAGGTTTCTAAGCTGTGTCATCCTCAGGTCTACAGTTTGATTTTATTTATTGTGGTTGATAGACAGCTCTTTGCTTGCAGTCACTTGTGCCACTCCCTTTAGCGAGTTCCAGGTCTGGGTTCTTATGTTAGATTTCTGCCAGGGTTTCCATAGCCCCAGCTCCTGGCTCACCAGTCTCCATCTCCTGTGATACCATGCTGAGGCTGCACCGTTGTCTGTACAATCTTTCTCCCACTTCCAGTCAGAGTAGGTCACAGAATTAGTGAAATACCTTGCAGGAACGTTTTGGCCATTAGCTCTGAGGGCCACATAAACCTATTTTGACCGTATGATGCCATAGTTGGTATTATTTTCCTGTGGGACCAGTGCAATCCGTTGAACTCAGCAAGTTCTTGCCGAGCTCCGAGCACATGTGCAGCTCTCTGCTGTACCCACCGTCTCAAAGCCCTTGCCGCACTATACAAAATGGAGCCTGATGCAACAATACTAGAGTTCTTGATCTGCTGGCAGTCAGGTCTAATGGCCACCCAGACCTGAATTGGGTGGAAACTGTAGGATGCCACATTGTTGCAGTTCACTGAGTCAGAAATGAGTTCACTTCTAGCTCAGTGCATGTGCAGTCCTGTCCATAGCCTTTGCCTCCTTAACAAAAATGGCACCCAATATAGCTCTAGGGGGAAGACTGGGTTGTAAAATTCACCCCATTCCCACACTGTTCATCTGGGACTTGCAGCTCTGTCTCTGCTCCTGGTCAAATCAAACAGACAGGCAAGACGGGCAGTTCTTTGTCTAAGTTTCACCTGAGCTCCCAATAAACATCCCTTCCCACCTTGCTGCTGGTGTAGTTCTGGCTTCCAGTGGAGTTCATATCACTGTTTGCTGAATGCTTCTGGGGTATCAGTTACTGCAATGCCACACAGTTGTTTTCACTGCTTTCCTGTGTTTATCAGTCTCCAGGTACCCCTCTGCTGGTTTTTTTTTTTTTTTTTTGTCCTCTCCTATTTCCTGGAATGTACCCTCTCTGCTTCATAGTGGCTGATATTTCTCATCTGTTTAAACATGTCCTCACCCTATTCCACCATCTTGATTCTCTTAATTTCTTTTTAAGACTTATTTTTTAATTTGCTTCAAAGCAGAGTGAAGGAGAGTGAAGAAGAGATATGCAGAAAGAATCTTTCATCTACCAGTTCACTCCCAAATGGTCACAACAGCCCAGCGTGGGACAAATCCAGGAGCTTAAACCTTCGGGGTCTCCAACATGGATGGCAGGGGATCCAAGCACTTGGGCCATTTACCCTCTCTTCCCCAGTTTATTGGCAGGCAGCTGAACTGGAAATGGAGCAGCTGGGACTGGAATAGTATTCATATGGGATGTCTGCTTGCTGGTAGAGGCTTAACCTGATATGCCACAATACAGGCTCCAAAAATAATTTTTAAAAGCTCAAACAAGAAAAGCCAACCAATCAACCAAACAAAAACACTTGGTATTTGTCTGAATCCATTAAGATTAAGATGAGTTGCAGTAAGCCCCTAACTTCATAGCACAGCCGCAATCTTAAGCAACTCTCAGGCTCAAAGAAAAACCCTTAGAACTCAGAACTTCTACAAACTCATTTGAAGGTGACTTCATTCTAAACAATGCTGAACTTTAAAAGCTCAGAAGCACTGGTATTGATGATTCCAAGGATAGGCAGACCTATATCAGTCTAACAATTTCCCCATTTCCTACTACCTGATCAAATACCTTCACTGAAACTCAGTGCATGCCCTACAAATCTAGGAAAACAATAGTTTAACACGGCAATTGTAATACCTAAGAGGACTCGGGAGCAGGTGGAGGGCCCAGCACAGACTTAGGCACAGAGTTAGGCTGTGATTCCTCGTGGCACCAAATACCACCAGGGTGCTGCTCTTCCTTTACATCTGTTTTATTTCAATGCCCACCTGTAGGCTTATGACGAGCAGGGAGTCTTTCAAATTTTTCTTAGAAACTCACTTGCAGAAAAGTCACCAATTTTCCTGTCACTGGTTCGACCACACACACATCCCTTGCTAATCCCCTCCACACCAACACTCCGCATAGTGCCCCCTACCAACCTGCGACTGAGCCTTGAGCACCTTCAGATAGCTCTGCATTTCGGAATCCTTGGTTTGGGAGCAAGGCACTTGCACAAGCTGTTCTTTGCACTCGGAGTCATTCTTGCACAGATAGAGCACCACGGCCGGGATCTCGCTGGCTGCACACTCGTAGAAGGAGCCCCCGATCAAAGCCATAGCAATCCAGGTGAGAGGAGCGACCGTGGCTCTGGCGCTGAGCTGCGTGCACAGTAAGGCACAGCTCAGCCCCGAAGTGCACCTCTTGTGGGAGAAGCAGCAGCCGGTCAGTAGTCGCCAGGTTCGGGTGCTTAATAAGTAGCCAAGGAGCAAGAGCACCAAAGCCGGCACCAGCAGGAAGACCAACCCATAGGCAAGATTCCAGTTGGCAATGCAGGGGCATTGGAACACCACAGCAGAGAAGAGGCGCTCCCCGCCGGCAGTCAGCAGCGTGATCAGGCCGTAGCCTAGTGTGCTGTGGTGCTTGGTGTACAAGTCCAGCACCGTCTTAAATTTCTCCATGGGCCTACTACCTCAGGAAGCTGTGCACAAGACTTGGTTGCTCGCCGTTCACTGTCTTATTTTTCAATGCTTTGGGTAGAGTAGGGTCTGGGACTTTCCACTCTGATAGGAAACACTTTTAGAAAAGGAAGAGAGCTCCTCCAGATATCTAAACTTTCACTTTCTCATTTCAACAAAACAAGCCACAATTACCAGTGAGACCCGAGTCTGCACCTTGAACCTTTGGCCTCTCCAGTACCCACCCTTTTTCAAAGGCACACAGTTGGTTACTTTTATCCCCAATCCCAGAATTCTGCCAGAATAGCAACCTCATTCTGATTGTAAGCCTTGTTTCCCCCATTCTGATAATGAACCAGGGAATTTAAGATTAAAAAAAAAAAAGCAGGGTCCTGAGCTTTGGCGTGGCAAACTAACCCTAGGCCTGCAGCACTAGCGTCTTGTATAGCATGCTCCACTTCCAATCCACCTCCCTGCTCATAGCTTGGGAAAGCAGCAGAGGATGGCCCCAGACCTTGAGACTCTGCATGCACACGGGGAACCCAAAAGAAGTTCCTAGCTTGCAGCTTCTGGTTCTTTTGGACAATTGGGGAGTGAATTATTGAGAGTCTTACCTCTATCCACCAGCCTGAATTTTCTCAGTACCTGCCATTGGGTCCAGCACCTTGCCATCCATAATACTACCTACATGTCAGTAGATGATTCTAGTGCTTGATTTAGTAAAAATATCTAAGCCCTCCAACTTCAGCTTTGACCTGAGAAGATGAGCGCATCACTCAGAAGTTCATCTATTAATGAATACTTTTGGGAGTCTATGATTCTTACCCCAATTTGCTTCACCTTTAAAGAAACGAGTGGAAGATTCTCATGTTAAACACTTCAGAAAGTTCAGGATTATTTACGTGTTCTGCCTGCTTGCTTTAACTGTGGCGCCTTTAACTGTGGTTTCTCAGCATTTGCTCTAGCAGCATCGTGATTGAGTTTCAGAAACCCAACTTATTTTTCAGAAAAAGCAGAAGAAATGTTGAAATGAAATGCTGAGTATGCATTGTGTATGTAAAGTTCCTTGTAATTGTCTTCCAGTCAGCTAGTTTGTAGACATGAGAACCGCGGCTATCGTGAGAACTCAGGATAATTGAATGAAGCTACTTGGAATAAAATTACTAGATTCCAGCAAAGATCAAGCCTATCTCATGAAAAAAGAGTAAAATAAAATGAGCACTTAAATATCTTGCATATCTCCCAAGTGCAAACATGTTGGATGCAAAATGAACAAATTTAGAAAACTGACACTTATAATCTACGTTTTTTTCTTACGTTTTTCTTCTATTAAAATAGATGTTAAAATGTATCTTTCATGTCAAACACTGGCTTTGAAAAAGTGGCGAGATTTTAAAAACAGCTTTATTTAGATAGATTCACAAATTATACAATTCTTCTATTTAAAGCATAAATCTAACAGTTTTTAGCATGTTCACAAAATTGTGTCATCAATTTTACAAACTTACCGTGACATAAAAAGAAACTCCATAACCATCAGCATTCATTTAGTGTTTATTTTCCTTCTCTCCTCAACCTCCCCTCCTCCACTCCCAACCAATGCAAGGCCCATCAACCACTTATCTTACTCCCTGTCTCCATACAGTCACTTATTTTGGGAATTTTTTTTTCAATTTCCTTTTTATCTAAGTGTAATTGCACATCCTTTAGCAAAACATCCTTTTCCTGTGGTCTATTGTCACAAACGCATAACAGCAGTTTAGAAAGGAAAGGGATGCTTTTAAAGTTTCACTATTGTCTTCCCACGGGAGGAGTAGCAATGTGAAGTTGATATCAGAAAGCACTGGCAGTGAGAGTCTAGGGAAAACTATGATGCCTTCCTTTCTGGAAACACAGCATCTTTGTGACTGCCAGAGAACCAGGCTGGAGGACCACCACTGCCCTATAGGACAAACTCACTCCCAGCACCTCTCAGCACTGCTTCAGGCTGGCTTTTGGCACTTCGTATGCTGCTCCTTCCAGAAGTCATTCCCTCCTCTTTAGGAAGTCTTTGCTGAGTTGACACAGATGGATCAGATCTTGCTCTGTACATTCTTCTCCCAGGCTACGTCTGCATCTTGGGAAGGCTTGTGAAACTGATAACATTTGTCCCTTCCTGTTTCTTATTCCTGTTTGTTATAGCAGTGGGTTTATGAGATCCAGCCTCTTGTCTTCATGCACTGTCCCCAGGCTAGCTACTCTGCGACTCACTCACTCCACTCTTGAGATGCCAGTTTTGTTTCACCTGCTCTAGAACAATGATCCTTCCTTGCTCCAACATCTCTGCACATAAATTTACCTCTGCCTATGATAATCTAAGAGTTTTTCTCACCCTTTAAATTTCAGCTCAGTGGTCACATCCTCAGACAGACCTTCCATATTAGGCAGGTTGAGCTTTCTTATACTGAAACAACCTCAAATCTAGGTGGTTTCATATTATACATTATTTCTTATTTACAAAATATGTTCCAGTGAACCTGTTGTCCATGCTATGTGGCTTCCTACTCTGGGATAGCAAAGTGTTTGTTGATTTTCAGGACTCCACCCTCTGGAGGTTCTTCCGGTATCTCCCTTGGCCACATAGTAATGGGCACATATCCTGTTTGGGGACTGAGTATTTTCCCAAGTTTATGACCTCCTCGGGTACTGCGGGAAGACCACAGGCCACTGGAGCTCAAGATTTCTTTAACTATGAATCTCTCCCCAAACACACTAAGACTGTTATCTATTTGATTCTGGGAAATTATGTCTGCCAATACCTGCTGCTCTTTTCAAGGGATATTCTCTCTTCCACTACATTTTTAAAAGGTTTATTTTGCTGGGCCTGGTGCAATGGTTCAGTAATTAAATCCTCACCTTGCATCCACCGGGATCACATATGGGTGCAGGTATATGTCCCAGCTGCTCCACTTCCCATCCAACTCCCTGCTTGTGGCCTAGGAAAGCAGTAGAAGTTGGCCTGCAGCCTTGGGACCTGCACCCATGTGGGAGACCCAGAGGAGGCTCTGGTCTCCCAGCTTGGATTGGCCAGGCTCTGGCTGTTGTGGCTGTTGCGGAGTAAATGAGCAGACAGATCTTTCTATCTCCCCCTCCCTCTGTAAACCTGCCTTTCCAACGAAAATAAATCAATAAATCTGAAAAACAGAGTTACACAGAAAGAGGTCTTCCACTCACTGGTTCACTCCCCAAATGGCTGTAAATGAGTGGGGCTGGGACAGGCCACAATCAAAAACCAGGGGCTTCTTTCACATCTCCCTCATGGGTTGAAGGGCCCAAGTACTTGGACCATCTTTTGCTGTTTTTGTGGCACATTAGCAGGGAGCTAGATTGGAAGTGGAACTGTCAGGTCTTGAACTAGAATCCATATGGGATATTGGCACTGCAGGCAGCAGTTTAACTTGCCACAACATCTCCACCATCCACTACACACTTTTGCTTCCTGGTCCTTTACCTGTCATCTACCTATCATGAGTCACCTCTGTCCCCACGGCCATATCTTTGAAGCTTTCTTGCATTTATAGTTTCTCTGAGTCTATAGGAGTCTATGATTTTCCTGTGTAAAAATCACACTTTTAAATTTATCTTTTCTCCAAGTGTTCATACAAATCAATACTTTAATTGCACCTGTCCTAATAGTCCTTGATCGTTAGAGAGGAATTATCAATACTTATAAGGGACATGCCTCCTTTTAAATATGTTTGTTTATTTAAATAGTAGTATGGCAGAAAGACAGGGAGAAACTTTCCATGCACTGATTCATCTTCCAAATGCCTCCAACAGCCAGAGCTAAACAAGGCCAGAGCCAGGAGCTAGGATTTCCATGCAGGTTTCCTACATGGGTGGCAGGACTCAAATATTTGAGCCATCATCCCCTTCTTCCCCAGGTATGTCAACCAGGAGCTGGATCAGAAGCAAAGTAGTTGAGATTGTAATATGGTATGTTGACATTGCAAGTGTTAGCCTAGCCCGCTGTGCCACAATACACTCTTGAGAATTAACTTTTTTTTTTAAAAAAAAGGTTTACTTATTTTTATTGGAACGCCAGATACACAGAGAGGAGGAGAGACAAAGAGGAAGATCTTCCATCCAATGGTTCATTCCCCAAGTGGCCGCAATGGCTGGAGCTGAACCAATCTGAAGCCAGGAGCGAGGAACTTCTTCCAGGTCTCTCACACAGGTGCAGGGTCCCAAAGCTTTGGGCCGTCCTCGACTGCTTTCCCGGGCCACAGACAGGGAGCTGGATGAGAAGTGGTGCTGCTGGGATTAGAACCAGCAACCACATAGGATCCTGGTACGTTGAAGGTGAGGACCTTAACCGTTACACTATTGTGCCGGGCCTGAGAATTAACTTTTAATTTGATCTTTCTATAGGTTTATTTTAATGGACCGTGTCTTTTGGATCTTTCTCTCCTACTCTCTACATGTTTGGAGTCTAGGATCTGTCAGGACTTCCAATTTTGCAAGATCCCAATTTTCAAAATTGATTTCTTTTCATTTTTTTTTATGAAGAACCAATTAGTTGTTTTCTCAATGTTGCAGGGTGCGAGCGAGATCACACCACACATGTCTAAGGTTTTATTAATGAATCTTTATTAACCAAGTTTGGCGATAACAGAACATACTAAGATAGCAGATCACAAGTCCAATCAAAGCAGTATGCAGGGACCAGGCTAACAGAACATACCAAATTAACAGATCACAAATCCAATCAAAGCAATATACAGGGACCATGCTCAGGGGATTACCTGTCCTGGATCAACCAAAAGTCAAGGTGCCAGAGTAACAGAAACACCTGACCAGAAAGAGCAAGCGTGAACCCTCCCCCCCACCCCACCCGCTTCATGGGCCTTTTAAAGGGGCTTGTAAGGGGCGTGGTTACACAACAATGCAAAACCATCCCCTCTCAATTGATAGGTATTGGCTCCTGCCCACCTGTGATTCACCCAAGTTTTGTGGGTTAAGGAGTTAATTGGCACTCATTGGGATGGGCAGGAACAGGAACTGGGTTTGTAGCTAAAAAGACTAACTGGACTCATCTGCATTCAACATCCCAGC